CATTCTTCTTGATTGCATGGTTTATGAAATTTCTTAACCATGTATTCCTTATCCTGGTTCCTCTTGGGTAAGGTGTTATTGCTCCCCACTCTCCTTACACCCTCAACCCCTGCTCTAGATTTCCAAAGCCGTTTGAATTATCCATAGTTGAATATTATATATTAGGCATAGTTAGTGGTTTGTCGTTGTTCTTGTTAGTTGTTTGCATGTTTATTTTTATCCCAGGTATTTATCCTGCTTTTGATTTTTTGAGCATCCTGGATCTGTGATTTGGTGACTACTATTCATTTTGGAAAGTCCGCAGTCATTATTGCTTCAAATATCTCTCTTCTCCATTGTCCTGATAGTCCTAACGTGTGTGTGTTACACGTTTTGCAATTGTCCCACTGGTCTTGGATTTTCTGTGTATTTTTAATTGTTTTCTTTGTGTTTCCTTTTCGGAAGGTGCTACTGGCATTTCTGTAGGCTCATTGATGCTTTCCTCAGCTCTGTTGAGTCTGTTAATGAACCCATCAAAGCCATTTGTAAAATTTCTATTATGGTGTTCTTGATTTCTCATATCACTTTAAATTCTTAGAGTTTCATCTTTCTGCTTACATTCACCATCTTTTTTTGCATATTGTCCACTTTTTTCAATATCTGCATTATCATAGGAATGGAAGGGTTTTTAAGTTCCCAGACTGCTAATTCCTACATCTCTGCCATAGGAAGTGTGATTGTAATGCTTGCTGTCTGTGTTCAAACTGTGGTTTTTACTTTCTATGACTGGTAAGTTGTGTTGAAGGCATTAAATGTTGCGTGCTGGTAAAGAAACTGAGGTAAATAGGACATGAGTGTGAGGTTTTTAGATTTATGTGGCTCGGGGTTAGGGTGAATATATTCCCAGGTGAGACAGGAAGGAGAGAGCCCTGGAGTTGAGTATTTCCTCTCACCTATATTGCTTAGACTTTGGGAAATCCCCAGTTGGGCTTAGTTTCTCTTGAGGGAATATCTTTTCTGGAGGAACAGAATGCTTTGGAGTTTATTTCTAAATACGTATTTGCCCTCTCTCCCTGACACTGTAGCAACCTTGCCTTCACAAAGAAACATAAATATTAAGTATTTGGTGTGTTCATAATCCTTTTCACTTCCCCTGCCCATGGGGCTTGGTGACAAGGGACAGGGAAGCTCAGAGGTTCCTAAGTGGCTTTTTGATAGCATGATGATATTCCAATATCCTGGCAAGAGTTTAGGGCTGGCCTCAGCGTGTCATCATCCTTTAAAACTTTAGAATGAGGAAATATGTTAATGATGTCAAAAGTGGGTCATGCCTAGATTTGATTGAGCTAGAATTTATCAGGGGTGACTGAGGTCTGCAGAGCACTTTTACCTCTTTTTTGAAACATTAGCCGTCATTTTGGTTGTTGCTTGTGCTATAGCTCTAGCCATGTTTTATTTTTCTCATTTGGTGGCTTTAATTTATTGGTAGCAGCCTGGAAAAAATCATGGCACCTGATGTACTCCGACTGTGTACAAATTCATCAAACAGCCAGCTCCGTGTAAGATTTCAGAAGAGCTTTCTAGAGAATGAAAGAGGCATATCTTAACACAAAGGTTTTGCCCTTCCTTCCTACTTCCCTCCCTCCCTCCCTCCTACCCTTCCTCCCTCCCTCCATCCTTCCTTCCTATTTCTTTATTTCAGGATTTAAAAATAATCCTAGTTTTAAATTTCATTGTGGATACTGGGTTAAAAGAATAAATGAGGGAAATGATGATTTAGTGAATTTTTAAATGAGTTATCAATGGTCAAAATTGAATAGGTTATTCATTTACTGTAAACATTTTTGGTTCACAAAAAAAGCTATTTACGTTGTACTCTTTAACAGAAATTGTGAACTAATGTGACAAATAGAAAATTTTAATTTTTTCTTATTTTTTAGTCCTGTGAATTAATTATGCAAACTAAAATTAATTTCATTGGATTACTATTTTGGTATTTATCAGAAACTATAGGTTTTTACTAATAATATGCTTTGATAGCAAATTTAATTTTGTTTTTTTCCCCTCTTAGAACCTCAGGAATATCAGGTTAAGAATTTAAGCTTTAGTTTTCTTTGCAATATTTTCTCAGTACTGATGTTTGATGTGGGGTTTTTTTTAATGTTTATTTTGAGTGAGAGAGAGAGAGAGAGTGTGAGTGGGGGAGGGAAAGAGAGAGAGGGAGACACAGAGTCCAACATGGGCTACAGGGTCCGAACTGTCACAACAGAGCCCAATGGGAGGGTAGAACCCATGAACCATGAGATCATGACCTGAGCCAAAGAAGGACACTCAACCAACTGAGCCACCCAGGTGCCCCTTGATATGCATTTTAATTCAACTGAAAATAAATATGGTGACTTCTGATGTCTAATCGACTTGTTAACTCTTCAGAATCTTCCTCTTCCCTGTTTGGGGCCTAAGTGACAATGTGGAGGGAGTTTCCATCTCTGAAGATAAGACATCAGGAGGAGGACCACATCACCAGAGTAGAGAGAATGAAATGAGTATAATTTTACATAGAAATGGTTAGGAAACAAGTGATGATATGAGCCTGAGGTTTGGAGTGAGTACTTTGTCATGACCTGGCTCTTGGTGAAATGTGAGTATGAGAAAACACTCTTTGAGTCTATCAAGAAGCCTAAGCTTAGAGAAGAAGTCAGCTCTTGGCAGGAAGGGTGTGTGTCACAAGAAAGGTTTAAACCGTGGTTTTGAGTCTTAAGTGGAGGGAGCCATTCATGCCAGAGGAGAATGAGTGGAAATGAATTTGTTGCAAATGGGGGTAATGTATTCTGCACAGGCCCCATAGACAACGGTGATACTGTGGTGCTGTCTGTTGAGAGCCAGGTGGCTACCTGACACATAGCAAGCCCTCAAAGGTTAGTGTTCATCACTGTGAATGCAGCAGTGGTGGCGGTGAGAAGAGTAAACTCAGGGCATGAGAGCTCTCACATTGGGCCAACAGAAGTTTGTTGTGTGATCCACCTGTAATTGGGTGCTTCATGTGTGTTGAATAATAATCCTGTAAGGTTGGAGGGTAACATTCTCATGTTGGGATGAAAAAAAGTTTGTCTTCTAGGGATTGCCATTAATCCAGATCCTCTAGCAACTAAGTGTAAAGCAGAGATTCTACCCAAGTGTGTTTGAGTACAAAGACCTTGTCCTTAAGGGCCCCCAGCCTAGGGTTCATGAAAGGCAATCTGTGAGCAGCAGGAAGTCATCTAAGGCCTTTGGGTAGTCAGTCAGTCAGCAGCTTGAGCTTTCCTTGTGTGGAATTCCAAATAGCACCTGGGGGTGTAAGTGGCTCAAACCAAGACTAAATGATGGTTTTGTTTGCTTTTGTTTGTTCATTTATTTGCAGGGACCTATTTATATACCTTAATAATTGGAGGAGAGAAATGCAAGTTGATAGGATTTGATTTTTCTGTTTCATTTCTGGTGGTGACAAAAATATTTGAAGTGATTGAATCTTCCAAGAAGTATGCTTCCAGATGGGAGAGAAATTAGAAGATATTTTATTGCGTTTCTCCATTTTGGACAATATTTTAAATAGGAATCTCATTGAAGTAAGGTTTTCTTAATCATGGTAAAACTTGATTTCCTCAGGCATAATGGGAAAGCTAATAGTTACACCCACCTGTCAGATCGTATGTCTGTGCTGCTAATACACTGGGATTATTCGATGTTACTGGTTTGGTAACAACCTTAGAAAATGTTTTATCTCCTTTTGGTTAGTTTATAGTGAATAACTGAGACGATCAATACTTTTTTTAAAAAAAATTTAATGTTTATTTTATTTATTTTTTTTTTTTACAAATAGTTTATTGTCAAATTAGTTTCTACATAACACTCAGTGCTCATCCCCAAAGTGCCCTCCTCCATGCCCATCCCCCCTCCCCCCCAATCCATCAGTCCTCAGTTTTTGTCAGCATTCAAGAGTCTCTCATGGTTTGCCTCTCTCCCTTTCCCCCACCATTTCCGCCCTTCTTCTCCCCCTTGTTCCTCCGTCAAGTTCCTCCTAATCCTCCTATACGTGCAAACATATGATATTTGTCCTTCTCTGCCTGACTTATTTCGCTCAGCATAACACCCTCAAGGTCCATCCATGTTGCTACACATGGCCAGATTTCACTGTTTCTCATTGCCATGTAGTATTCCATGGTATAGATAAACCACATCTTCTTGATCCATTCATCTGTTGATGGACACTTAGGCTCTTTCCATGTTTTAGCTATTATGGAGAGTGCTGCTATGAACATTGGGGTACACGTGCTCCTATGCCTCAGCATTTCTGTATCCCTTGGGTAAATTCCTAGCAGTGCTATTGCTGGGTCATAAGGGAGTTCTATTGTTAGTTTCCTGAGGAACCTCCACACTGTTTTCCAGAGGGGCTGTACCAGTTTACATTCCCACCAACAGTGTAGGAGGGTGCCCGTTTCTCCACATCCTGGCCAGCATCTAGAGTTCTCTGATTTGCTTTTAATGTTTATTTTTGAGAGAGAGAGAGACAGAGGGTGAACAGGGGAGGAGCAGAGAGAGGGAGACACAGAATCTGAATCAGGATCCAGGCTCTGACCTGTCAGCATAGAGCCCAGTGTGGGGCTTGAATTCACAAACTGCAAGATCATGACCTGAGCTGAAGTCAGACACTTAACTGACTGAGCCATCCAGGCGTCCCTATACTTTTAAGAAAGAAAATAGAGAACATTACTTGCTGAAGAAATATCCATTTGGGAACAGAAGTTACCATTGCCCTTTCAAGTATTTTTTTGTGATTTCATTTTGGTTATTTTCACTCTAGTAGATCATCCTACTGACCTATTTCATGTGCTCTATAAACAGTATCAATTCAAGACAAACTTCACAAATGTAAAGAGCTACCTCTTTATTTGTGAAAGGAGTCACACATTAGAAGATAGGTTTATCTAGCACTTTGCCTTTTTTTAAAATTTTGATTCCATTTTTGTGTTTTATAGAACAATGAATTAAAGAAACATTTTCAGGAAACTAAGAGAGAAAGTAAGTTTCTCTCTGATGAAGCTCTTAAATTGAAGGTAAGAATCCCTTCTTTGCCTGGATTGCATTCTAAAGACACAAGTAAATGTAATGAATTATTATTACTCATTCAACATGTTTGTGAAAGTAGAACATCAAAATAGTTGAGTACTTTAATGAAATTGAAAGGTTTTTTTTAGTGTTTATTTATTGAGAGACAGAGCACAAGCAGAGGAGGGGGCAGAGAGAGAAGGAGACACAGAATCCAAAATAGGCTCCAGGTTCTGAACTGTCAGCACAGAGCCTGACACGGGGCTCGAACTCACAACCCATGAGATGACAACCTGCACTGAAGTCAGATATTAACCGAATGAAGTACCCAGGTGCCTAATTTAATGAAATTTTAAATGACACCCTTCAAAGTGCACGTGCTACCTTGGAATCTCAAAATGAGAGCGAGAGAGAGAGTGAGAGAGAGAGAGAGAGAGAGAGAGCTATCAAGAATTAGGAAGTGGTAAGAGTTGGCTGCTGAGTTTTACTATAATTTGTCTTTGGAGGCTTTTTGTTCATTGGGTGAGATGAGCACAGCATATTCGCTTGCTGTTTACCGCAGTAGAGAGTGGGCCTCTGGGAACCAAACCTCCATCTGCACACGGACCTGGAATTTCACTAGGACCACCATGATGAATTTTGCTATTTCAAGGACTGGGAGTTACCTTTTATTTTCACAACTAGGTAACTATCACATCATTCAGCTTTGCCTTCCAAGGTATGTAGAAAATCCCCAAATATAGTTGAGAGAGAAAGGGTGATAGCCAAAGTGTATAATCTTTTCCTTTTTAACATTTTTTAAAAATTATTCTTTTTTAATTTTTTTATTTTAGTGAGACAGGGCATGTGAGTGGGGGAGAGGGGCAGAGGGAAAGAGCAAGAATCTTAAGCAGGATCTATACTCAGTGTGGAGCCCAACACAGGTCTCGATCCCATGATCCTGGAATCATGACCTGACTCAAAATCAAGAGTCTAATGCTCAACTCACTGAGCCACCCTGGTGCCCCATAGTCTCTCTCTCTTAATGCTGAACAATGAATTTTCAACATGAAGGGGGGGGATATATATGTACTCATATGTATATAAACATATATATAAACACGTATACCACTAAGAAAGGCATTTATGAGCTGTTAGACATGAACTATTTTCCACCATCTTTGTCTTCTAGTTATATTCATGCCTCAGGCTCTTTGTTAATTGCATTGCACAATCCTGTTGTGTTAGGTATATTCAAATTGTGCGATCATTTTTCCTTGAAAGCCTTTTTTCATATCTGTCTTAACCACAGACGCAAATGGTGAATTTGAGGATGTGGAGCTAAGAGCCTTGAGGTCTAATAACTGTCAGCTGGAAGGTATATTGTCTGTTGGGGAGAAATCCCCATATGATGGTAATGACTTTGCATTAGAAAAGGAAAGAATACCTTCATGCCTTCATAGTTCCTGTCCTTTCTATCTCATGAAAATCAAGACTCAGGTCATATGCATGCTTATAAAGAACCCCCCTTCCTTTTACTTTTTTTTTTTTACAGAAAATTAAAAGGCCCTGGAAGAGACATGTAATGCCTTAAGATCTGTGAAAGCAACAAAGGAAGCAAAAATCAAACAGCTGAAGGAGAAAGCACATAACCTGGAAGAATTCTATGAAGAAAAGTGGCTACAGAAGAGTAAGATATTCTTGTGATTATTGTCACAAGTACTGTCATATGAATGGATGTGGTGGCTGGGAGAGATAATTATATTTCTTGAGGATTGGGTCCAGAGTATTTCTGCCAAATACATTCAGTAGAATTGTGCCTACCTTCCCTACCTTGCTTTCTATAACCTGCATTTTCCTTTCTGTCCTAAGTGCTTGTCACACATCATGTCCTGTCTGGAGGAGGGAAGATACCAGCATTAATGATGTTGATACTGGGATCCGCTCTGGATCCATCTACATTGTTTTATAGGTTTCATTCCCATCACAATGTTTTGTCATCCAGCAATTAGGTCATTTTTGTTCAGGACCAGACATGGGTCAAAAATGTGTGGGGAAAATACTGAATTAGCTTGCTGCAGAAACAATAGAAATTTCTTTCTGGAAAGTTGGTAGGGGCGCCAGCAGTACTGGCTCCCTGCGTACATTCTGCCAGTTGGATTGTTCACAGCAGGCCCGATCCCTAAGAAAGCTGATTTTTCCAGTACCCTGACTTTTAAGTGCAACTGCTCTGGGTCTTGACCAAAGCCTGCAGCTTCACTAGGGCTCATCTTTGCTGACTGACCCTGAACTGAACTACACATGTTTCCTTCTAAGTCTCTGCCCATAAAGTTGTTCAGCTTCTTTGCAGTTCCAATATACACCCCCCAAATCATTGATGAGTCCTAGGGAGATTGGGTCCAACTGCCATGCTGGTTTTGTCCTGGGATTCCTTCTTCTCCATCTTGGTCTCATGTGTCTTCATGGTGTCGTTAGGAATTTGTGCATTCCCTCACATGTTTCCTCCTTTGTGCAGTATTTCCTTTTGTTCTCAGGAGGAGATCAGGGACTTTAGAGTCCCTCATTCATGATGGGAAATAAACTCTTCCTTCTCTTCCCTGGAGACTCAGCTTTATGTTAGTCCTTCTCACACCTGGGGTTAGGGCCTGCTCTGTCTCACTGGTGTCTTGCTTTGTTAATTTGTTTTTATGGGTTTTTTAAAATTTATTTCTGAGAGAGAGAGAGAGACAGAGACACAGCGTGAGCAGGGGAGGGTCAGAGAGAGAGCAAGATACAGAACGTGAAGCAGGCTCCAGGCTCTGAGCTAGCTGTCAGCACAGAGCCTGACGTGGGGCTTGAACCCATGAACTGTGAGATCATGACCTGAGCCGAAGTTGGGACGCTTAACTGAGCCACCCACGCGCCCCTTGTTTTGTTCATTTGTATGCTCTCTCTGGGAGTGGATACAGCACCCTGACCACCTTTCTATCTTCAACCCTTTACAGCACAACCACTCCAGAAAGCATTTGCTGAAGGGCTGCCCGAAAGGCCAGAAGGAAATAGATGTGGTTTTCTCTGTCTAGTGGTTTTGTCTCAGTTTCTAAGAGGTTTTCAATTTTGATTCTTGAGTACATCAGGTGTCAAGCTGAAACCCTTTAAATCAACACCACAAACAAAATAGTCTGAGGGCAACACAGCAAACCAGCCTTTCTAAGCATTTCCCTTTGCTGCCTTCACTTTCAATTGAACCCAGTCTTGTTCAAGTAGATTGGCTCCATGAAGTTGAGAATTTTCCATCTGAAATCTGTTTCCTGGAGATAAACCCAGACTGTGTGACAGTTTATATCAGGTTATACTTCAGGAGATGTTGCTGCTCTAAGATTGGCCTTTTCCTCCACCAGGACATGTGAAGGTGGAGGCAGGGTTGCACTCCTGACCCCTAGCGACGTCTGGGTGTGAGCTGCAGTGTTGGTGAAGCCATATCCTGGAAAGTTGTTTTTCAGGGAGATTGTGTCAGGGCACAACTTTTGGATTGAATATAGGGTTCCCCATAGAGGTGTAAGACTAGTGACGATCCCCTGCTTCATCCTAATGGGTACAGTTGGTCAGACATGGTTTGTCACATTGCTGAAGTGAGCCTTCATCATCTCAAGCAAAAGACTGGCTCTGGGAAGGCACAAGGTGCAATGTTATTTGATGACTTTATGATGGAGTATGATGGAGTCGAAGCAGATAACTAGAAAACAGCTCTTATAGTAGAGACATGGCAGCAGACAGAGGTTGAATTTTCTTTAACCTAAATGGGGTGTTCATTTCCCTGATTGTGCTGTTGGTCTGTGCATTTATGGGAGAGGTGAGGAAGGCATATTTGCATAGGCCTTTGAGAGTGCTGGGATGTAAAACAGCAGAATTTCTGTACCTTGGTCCTGACCGTGTATATATCTTTCCTGTCTTAGGAAGCTGAAAATGACATACTGTGAACTGGTGGCAAAGAAGAATCAGCTGACAGCTGAAGATAAAATTTGAACATAGCTACGGAGAAAATAAACAAGTACAAGTGAGGTCAGCTACTAATTACCAGCAGCTCATGAAAACTCTGTCCATTTTTTATTTTTATCCTTTTTACAATGTTTAGACTCAACATAATAATATAAACAAAAATTTAGAGGACATATGCATAGAGTATTAACAGATAAAAATAGTTTTGGAACAAAACGATTAGGTTTCTAAACATTTGTGGATCTCAAGCAATGGGCAGACTGTGTGGAAACTTCATCCATGCCAACATTTCTGGGGGGTTTCCGGCTGACTTCTAATGTTGAGTAAGGATGAGGGACCAGCAGTGAGTGAGGAGGCAACACAAGGAGTCAGACTCTCACCCAGGATGCCAGCTATCTCCAGACAGCACCATGTGCAGGAGGGCACTAAGGAGCAGAGATTTCTTGATCAATTCTGTGAAATTCCTAATCCTCCTCCAGATTCCCAAGGGATGGCCAGGGCACAGGCCAGGAGCTGGAGGACCCCCTGATCAAGGCTGGAGGTGAGCAGTTTGCCTCGGGGACTGAGCCAGAGAAAGGGACAGAAAGAAGGTAGCAACAGGGAGTTTGAGAGACAAAGGGAAGGGAAGAGAAAGGACCTTTCTCTACTGACCTCATCTACATTTCTGCATGAACAAAAGGGGATTCTTGTCTCCAAGGGGTAGGGAAGAGGAATGGCAAATGACAGAGTGACATTCTCAGCTCAAGTGCCCAGGATATCTGCCTTGCTCTTGAATACCTAACACCGGAAGCCCGTGCTTTCTGTCATAATTGGAACTGCAGCTTGTGCCATTTAGTGAAAATCAATCCAATTATGAAAACCTCATCATTAAAGGAGTGCAACAGAATTATGTGGGCAGAGTGATACAATAGAGGATAAAGTCCAAAAGTAGAACAAATGCAATACTCATAGGAACAAAGAATATCAGAAAAGGAAGTACCCCAATGCAGGCATTCAGACACGTGGGCAATATCTGAAAATGTAAAAAGAAAAAAATTAGTCCTTACCTTAAAAGAAACATTGACGTTAAACAAGAGGGATCATGATTTAAGGTTTGGGTGCTATACCCATGAGATCAAGTATCATCAAATTATAGCCTTTAATTTGAGGCTATTTGTTATATGTAAATCATACTGCATTAAAGATAGTTTTGAAACATGAAATACTAGAAGAAAATGTGGGAAAATTCCTTTCTAATCCTGAAGTGCATGGGTGATAGGAGTCTGTTTGACCATGTCTCAAAAATTCAAAAAATTAAGACATTTAAAAAGTAATAATATGGCACAAAAACAGACACATAGACCATTGGAAAGGAAATGAGAACTCAGATGTGGACCCAAAAGTATACAGCCAACTGATATTTGACAAAGCAGGAAAGAATATCCAATGGAAAAAAGACAGCCTCTTTAACAGATGGTGTTGGGAGAACTGGACAGCAACATGCAGAAGAATGAAACTAGATCAATTTCTCACACCATACACAAAAATAAACTCCAATTGGATAAAGGACCTGAATGTGAGACAGGAAACCATCAAAACCCTAGAGGAGAAAGCAGGAAACAACCTCTTTGACCTCCACCGCAGCAAACTCTTACTTGACACATCCCCAAAAGCAAGGGAATCAAGAGCAAAACTAAACGATTGGGACTCATCAAGATTAAAAGCTGCTGCACTGCAAAGGAAACAACCCACAAAACTAATAGGCAACCAACGGAATGGGAAAAGATAGTTGCAAACAACATATCAGATAAAGGGTTGATATCCAGAATCTATAAGGAAGTCACCAAACTCCAACCTAAAAAACAAACAACCCAGTGAAGAAATGGCAGAAGACATGAACAGACACTTCTCCAAAGAGGACATCCAGATGGCCAACAGACACATGAAACGATGCTCAGCATCCCTTCTCATCAGGGAAATACAAATCAAAACGACACTGAGATACCATCTCACACCAGTCAGAGTGGCTAAAATGAGCAAATCAGAGAACACGAGATGCTGGCGAGGATGTGGAGAAATGGGCACCCTCTTACACTGTTGGTGGGAATGTAAACTGGTGCAGCCCCTCTGGAAAACAGTGTGGAGGTTCCTCAAAAAATTAACAATAGAACTCCCCTGGGACCCAGCAATAGCACTGCTAGGAATTTACCCAAGGGATACAGAAATGCTGAGGCATAGGAGCACATGTACCCCAATGTTCATAGCAGCACTCTCAACAATAGCCAAAACATGGAAAGAGACTAAGTGTCCATCAACAGACGAATGGATCAAGAAGACGTGGTTTATCTATACCATGGAATACTACATGGCAATGAGAAAAAATGAAATCTGGCCATGTGTAGCAACATGGATGGACCTTGAGGATGTTATGCTGAGTGAAATAAGTCAGGCAGAGAAGGACAAATATCATATGTTTGCATGTATAGGAGGATTAGGAGGAACTTGATGGAGGACCATGGGGGAGAAGGGAGGAAATGGTGGGGGAAAGGGAGAGGCAAACCATGAGAGACTCTTGAATGCTGACAAAAACTGAGAACTGATAGATGTAGGGGGGAGAGGGGATGGGCATGGAGGAGGGCACTCGTGGGGATGAGCACTGGGTGTTATGTGGAAACTAATTTGACAATAAACTATTTGTAAAAAAAAAAAAAAATGCCAGAATGTTTTAAATGGCAAGATTGAAAAACAGAATAAATGTATGTCTAGACTGAACATAAAAAAATAAATAAAATAAAATAAATAAAAAGTAACAATAGCAGAGTACGAGGACCCTGAGAACACTCTGGCCCATGTTTTCAACTCCATAACATCCACATCCAAGTCCATAAACCAGAGAGCGATCCAAAGACTGGCAGAACAAACTCAATTCAAGAGAGAAAAGGTGTACCTGAAAGGTTAGTAAGATCAGAAAGGTGGAGGGTGGCTGCTTGCAGAGAGTAAGCCCTCATACCAGGGAGCTCACACAGGGAAGACTAATCCCCATAACATTTGGCTTTAAAAACCAGAGGTGCTGAATTCCTTGAGTTTGGATCCTGGAAGTTTGGAGGTCAGCTGACTCAGCACTGGGTGATTCAGAAGGGTGAGTGATAGCCAGGTCCCTGCCTGGGTGGAGAGGCAATGTAAACATGGCAGTTTACACAATGTCAGAGGCAACAGGAGACTGATGTGTTCATGCTGATTTCTGAGTGGTTGGGTGACTTCTGCAACAATTAGAGAGCTCACAGGCACCATTCTTCTCCCCCACCACCCCCAGAATAAGCACAGAAGCACCTACCAGGGGGTTGGGCTGCACAGACCCTTGTTACCTAACCTGCTAGCAGTGTGCTAGTCCCAAGAGTTCTCTGGGAGACTCACTCACTCCAAGCCTGCTGGCCTCAGTGCAAACTGTTAAAACCACATGGGTATCTTGTCCAGCCTGCTGCATGCAAAGCTACCACAGCATGTTGTGCTCATCTGCACCACACCTAGCTGTGCACGCCCGGCCACTCTCCTATGTCTCACCCAGCCACATGCCCCCAGCCACCAATGCACTCTTTGCATAGCCTTGAGCCCCTGGATGCCCTGGTGCAGAGCCACCAGCCACCAAAGGACAGCTACAGATTTGTCAACAGAATCCTGGCAAGCCAGAAGCGAGTGACATGGCATTCAAAGTGCTGAATGGAAAAATTAGCAGCCAAGAATACTCTATCCAGCAAGGCTGTCATTCAGAATAGGAAGAGACATAGTTTCCCAAACAAAAACTAAGCGAGTTTGTACCACTAAATCAATCCAGCAAGAAATATTAAGAGGGACTCTTTGAGTGGAAAGGAGAGACCAAAAGTGCCAATAGAGAGGTAGAAAACACAAATCCAGTGAAAATGAATATTTCTGTAAAAAATCAGCCAAGGAACTCACAAAATTGGATATAAAATATAAAAACATGTACCAAAACATTGGGAGGAGAAAATAATGGGCTCGAAGGTAAATGACCATCAACTTAATACAAACTTCTAAATGCAAAGAAATTATATAAAAACTTAATGGCAACCATATATCAAAAATCAGTCATAAATATGCAAAGAATAAGGAGAAAGAAATCAAATATATCACTAAACAAAATCAGCAAAACATGAAAGAGAGAAAGACAAAGGATCAAGAAAATCATTAGATACCACAACAGGTAATAAAATGGTAATACATATGTACATATCAATAATTTGAAGGTAAATGGAAGGAATGCTCTGATTAAAAGGCATAGGTTGTAAACATGGATGAAAAAAACCAGATTCATATGCTACCTACAAGTGACCCATTTTAGACCTCAAGACACCTACAGAATTAAAGTGAGAGGATGGAGAAACATCACACAAATGAATGTTGAAAGAAAGCCCAGGAAGCGATACTTGTATCAGAGAAAATAGACTTTAAAACAAAGAATGTAACAAGGGACAAAGGATGATACTATATAACACTAAAGGGTACAATCTAAAAAGAAGATAGAACACCTTTAAATATATATGAACCCAATATATGAAAAAGTTAATAGATAAAAGTTAACATAAAGGAACTAACTGATAATAAGGCTTTCAGACCCCACTTGCATCAATGGACATATCATCTAAACAGAATATCAACAAGGAAATGATGTCTTTGAATGACAGAGTAGAAGAGATTGGATAGATATGTTCAGGACATTCCAATGTAACAGGAGAATATACATTCTTTTCAAGTGTACAAGGACAGTTGTCCAAAATAGATCACATATTAGCCTACAAAACAAACCTTAACAAATTCAAGCAGACTGAAATCACACCATGAATATTTTCAGACCACAACACTATGAAATTAGAAGTCAACCATAAGAAAAAAATCTGGAAAGACCACACATACATGGAGGTTAATAACACACTACTAAATAATGAATGGGTCAACCAGGAAATCAAAGAGGAAATTTTAAAAATACATGGAAACCAATGAAAATGAAAAAACAATGGTCCAAAAACATTTGGAATGTAGGAAAGTGGTTCTAAGAGGAAAATTCAGAG